AAATCCTCCGGAAAGGGTTTATGCTCTCGCTCCATTCTTATTTTTTTCGGGGGGGGGGAGAGACAGCGAGACAAGCTTTCGGGGCGCGCTGGTAAGGTGGGAGGGGGTGGGGGCCAGCCGAATGGATTCTTTGGCGAATGTGTAGAAGCGGCGGAGAGGACAACAACTTGCTGGTTTTCAGGTTGGGTTAACGGCATGGAGAACAGTCACCCCCACCACCACCACCAGCAGCCCCCGCCGCAGCCCGGCCCTTCGGGCGAGAGGAGGAACCACCATTGGAGAAGTTACAAGTTGATGATTGACCCGGCTCTGAAAAAGGGGCACCATAAACTGTACCGCTACGATGGGCAGCATTTCAGCCTGGCGGTGAGTAGCCGACGCACCTTCCCGCCACCCCCACCCCATCCCCGGTGGAGCCCCCAGACAGAGGCGAACGGAGGGGGACCCCCTATCCCAGCCACCTGGCCAACTGTCAGCCAGGGCTCCCCCCTCAGCCTGGAGTGGGACTGGTGTCTGGAGACGGGGGCGGGGGGGTCTGCCCCTGCCCCTGGGGAGGGTGCCAGCCTTCCATACTGAGCCCCCTATCTCTGTCCACAGATGTCCAGCAACCGCCCGGTGGAAATCGTGGAAGATCCCCGGGTGGTCGGAATCTGGACCAAAACCAAGGAGCTGGAGCTGTCGGTGCCCAAATTCAAGGTAGGACCCCTCCTCTCTGTCTTATGGTCCCTCCCCCCTTCTCCGAGTTCGAAAATAACGCCAGTCCTGACCAAGCCCAGCCGGATTCTGAGTTCCCGCCGTCCAGGGTTGGCAAGTTTTGGCGGGGAGGGGGGGAAAGTAGTGTCCCCTCCCGGCCACTGTAAACAAAATAACACTTGGAGAAACTGTAACGAGGGCGCTGATACAGCGTCCTGCCGGCGAAGTTGGGGGCTCTGGGTCCCTACCTGGGTCCTTGTGCACCCAGGGGCCTGGTTCAGGGACCCGCCCCCTTTTCCATCCCTTTGGCTTTAAAGGGGGCAACTTCCTAGACTAGGGGGTCGTTCCGGAACCAGCAGTAAAGACAGGAGGCCTGAATAGGGGGTGGGGAAAGAGAAACTGTTTCTTTTTCCCCTTTCCTTTCGAACCCAGAGGACTTCCAGGTTCCAAACGATTTAATCCTCCGCTTCTCAGGCCCGCCCGCTTGCCTTTTTTTTTCTTTTCCAAAAAAAAAAAAATTAATTTTTTTCACCCTTTATTGCTTTTAACTGCTGGGCAAGTGAGGAGTGTTGTGTTTTTCTTTGGTTTTAATGTTGTCCAAACTCCCTTCCCCCGCGGCCCCTGCCAGATCGATGAGTTCTACGTGGGCCCTGTGCCTCCAAAGCAGGTGACATTTGCCAAGCTGAATGACAACATCCGTGAAAACTTCCTAAGGGACATGTGCAAAAAGTATGGGGAGGTGGAGGAAGTGGAGATTTTGTATAATCCGAAGACCAAGAAACACCTGGGTATTGCCAAGGTGGTCTTTGCCACGGTCAGGGGCGCCAAGGAGGCCGTCCAACACTTACATAGCACGTCTGTCATGGGCAACATCATCCACGTGGAGCTGGACACCAAAGGTTAGTAGAGGCCTGTTGGCCGCCCATGGGGGAGGAGCTGGAAGGCCACCTGTCAGCCTGACTCCCTTCCTTTGAAATCTCCTCCTCCCTTCAGAGTTAGGAGAACCCTCTATTGTCACCTCTTCCTTGGGATTCCCCCCCCCATCACCTTATTTATTTTTTGTCCCCTCCGGATGGCAGAGTCACATGGAACCAAATGTGTTGTCTGTTGCTAGGAGACAGGCTATAATTTACCAAATGTGCCAGTCCTTGGCCACTGCACCCTTAGGGACCACCCGAGATTTCCCCACCTATGACACCCCTGTGGGCCCCTCTCTGAGCCCCAGTGGCCTGGGTTTAGACAGTCCCTAGTGTTTCTGCCTGTGTTAGAGGAGAAGGAAGCATTTGTTTACTTGTAGGGGGCAGAGGAAGAACCAAGTGCCTTTAAATTCATAAGTCATTCCTTAAGGATCTAGGGTGCCATGCCCCCCCAACCCCTACCGGTGCCCCTTCCCTGAGCCAATCTGAGCCCTGAAGTGTTTCATTGATAATGTTCTGACTGCACTGATAGTGGATCTTGGGGGCGGGCTGCTCTGGGCGCTCTAGGGTTGACACTTGTCTTCCCTCCTCTCTCTTAAAGAGACAGCAGCACCTTGGTCTGCTCCATCTGGCCTGGGAGCCACACCTCCTACCTCCAGGGTTGCTGACTCTCTCCTTCCCTCAGTCCTGGCTCAAGACTCCGGTAGAAAGACCTGGCAAGACGCAGGGCATTCCCCCTAAGTCTGCCTGTGTCCTTTTTGAGGGATTCCTACCGATCTGAAGGAAAGAGCAGGGCACTCTGGAACCAGGGAGTCCCTAGTCCGGCAGCCAGCTGTCAGACTGTTAAAGTCCAGAGTTTGGGAGTGGGGGTAGCACACTGCTGAACCTTGCCTGAGAGGATTTTGGTCCAACTCCAGGGGTATTGTGAGCGCTAGGTTTGCAAGTAGCTGAGCACACCAAAGGCAGCAGAGGAAAACTTACTGTTTTGTTTTGTTTCTAATGATGGCTACAGTGCATCTCTGTGACTGACTCCTATGCTGGGTAGTGCAAAGAGTGGTGGGAGTTCTGAGTGAATTTGGGGAGCCCAGGCCTGGTCATGTGTCATAAGCTGTTCTTTATGTCATAAGCTTTCCTGCTCTTCTTTTCCCTAGTTCCTCACTCTCTAGTAAAACTGGTGCGCACGCACGTGCATGCGTGCGTGCATGTGTGTCTCTGAACAGATTTTTAAATCTACTGCATGTTCTTACAATAAGCTGAAGTCTAATTTCCCCCAAGACCAAAGCATGCAGCCCCCTCCCCCATCACCTGCCCACATCTTAAAAGAGCAGCTAAGTCGTACCCCAATTTCATTTCTGAAAAAAAACAAAAACAAAATCAACCCTCAGATACTACCACCTAAGTTTGAGATTGTCTTTCAGGAAAGAGCCCAGTAAAGAGGAGGTCGCTCAAGGAATGCACCTCCTTTGCATATGTAAGCAGCCACCTAAGGCTCTATAAATACCAGTGATCTGGGGCCTGGTTGGTAGAAATCTCTCTCTCTGATGGGTAGAGAATTAGACTTGGGGCTCACTGGGACCATGTGGGGCCCTCTTGGGGCTTGAGCTAGCTTAGCACACCGTAGGTTCACAGTAATCTGTGTTTGGCTGACTGTGCTGGTCTTCTGGCCCCAGAGAGTTAACAGTCACCTGTGTCACCTGACTTCCTCTGTCCTTGCTACAAGCCGTGACAACCAAATATGAAAGAAGAATTGTGGGGAGATGGGGGTAATAATGGCTCCTTGGAACCATGGTCCAGGTAATGAGAAGGACTTTGCACTCAGGATGATGTTTGTTAACCTTAAAAGTCTCCGGATCAGAAAAATCAGTTTTGTGACTTTGCTGGACAGATGAGAATCTTGAATGAGGTGCAGTGGGTGGGAACCTAATCAGGGGACACACAGTGTCCCCAGGCTTGTGGTCTCAGGCACAAGGGATCCATGAAGATGCTAATAAGCAAGTTGGAATCCCCATGGGTGTGTCTCCTGCCGGAGCCTCCATGGATACCCTCTCCCCTGCCTGTTACAGGGGAAACTCGCATGCGCTTCTATGAACTGTTGGTCACCGGCCGGTACACCCCCCAGACCCTCCCAGTGGGTGAGCTGGATGCTATCTCTCCAATTGTGAATGAGACCCTGCAGGTAGGTTGATCCCCTGTTGCTCTCTGGCTCAGAGGCCTGACCACACCTGCTGTAGGTGCAGAGCTGGTCTAAAAACCCTGTTTTCCCAAGATCTGCTACAGCATGTCTCCCCTGGGATTGATCCCTGTAGCTGTCAGTCCACACGGAGTCCCTCCTCCTCCTCTACTTTCCACGTATGCCAGATTCCCACTTTTCCATATGAATGTCAAAACACTACTGTGTTTGGGTCTTAATGTCTGGTGTCTGGCCATCCCTGTACTCCTGTCTGTAGGAAGCAGCGTTCAAAACCTCTTGCAGAACAGACTGCCTCCCTTTCAGCCCCCTGCATACCAGGACACTTGCTTGACCAATTCCAGTCAACCACAGTTTCAACTTGCCTCATCTCCCCACCCCTCAGAGGCTTATTAAAGTGTCCACCTGCTGATCAGGAGGCACTTGTCCTGTCACACTGCTTAAATCTCTAGAGTTTGTAAGTACGGCT